CAATTGGTTGAAAACTTTACACACAAAAAAATATTAAGGGCTAGAACAATGGTCCAGGGGTTAAGAAACGTGCCTTACGTGCAGCTGACTCTGGTTTGATTCCTCCCTACTCTTAGTGATCCCCTGGAGCACCACCAGGAGTGATGCCTGAGCACTGCCAGGACTAGACCCCGAGCACATCTAGGTCTAGCTCACTGCCACTGCCCCAATCGAATAGCTGTGCTGTCACCTATTCCATAGAAAACCAGAGAGGTAAGGTATGTCTGACCTCGGGCTGTGCTGACCCAGTTCTGTGTAGCTTTCGCAGTGTCATTCCTAGGTCTGGCAGAGGTAGGCTTCATGCCTCAGGCCTGGCAGGATCTACCCCACTCTCGTCCATTCCTTATTTATAGGACAGGCTCCATGATTGTGAGCCCACAGATGGTGTTTCCATAAAAACACCTCTTTCCTGCCCTTCACCCACTCCCACACTGTGGGGCTGGTAGTCATTGTCAGAAGTCAAGGCTGCCAAGTCTACCAGGTGAGTGTATGAATCCCGATGATTCAGGAAATCGGATCCAGCACTGGAAGTCACACAGCAGCCACAGATACCACAAATACCCAACAAAGTTCAGTGAGCTGAGGAAATGACAGAACCAGGTTGAAAGAAGATGAGAATTCTGCAGGGAGTTTAGGGAATCTCTAAGCATGCACAGGAAGTGGCCCATCCACCCTGTGCAGAAGGAGACAGCTGTGACTGAGCATGCCATTCTAATTTGGTTGTGTGCAAGAGCCATGATCAGATGCATCAGCTTGGAATTCGTTGTTTTACATATTACACGCTGCAGGAATCATGTATAAAACCTGCTCTTTTTCTGTGCTGTCAACTTGCAGGAAGACTGAACTTGGGGGTGTCAGAGGCAAGACTTTTAACTTTTCCGTGGCACAATCCAAACCTTATTAAAATAAACACTGACCTAGAATTTATACACAGTAATGACCCCTTATGCAGAGTGCATGTTCAGAGAGCCTTTTGTAAGAATAGAAATGTGAAGATATGCTTGAAACCTTTTTTAATCTCTCTGTGTGGGTGTTGTCTTGCTCTCTTCCTGGGTAACTGATACAGACTCAACAGGGCTCTAAGGTGATCACCTTGGTACAAAATGTCGTGGCTTCTTTCCAGAACTTTCTTTTGTCTAATTGCATTTAACCTTTCAATAGGAGCCATAGAACTCATACCACAAGATAGGGACTCTCTTATTGTGTCATCATAAGCTGCTTCTTACTTAATTCCTGTGCTTGCCTCATTGTCATGACCTAGTTCTACTTTCCCTGCCCTTCATGGCCTACACTTTCTTTTCCCTGAAGTAGGAGTGCGTGGGATCCCTCCTGGGTTGAGGTTCTGCTGAAGAGCAGGATGGAGCCACAGTATGTCCATGCAAACCTCATTCAAGCCATACCCTGAACCCCAACATGATTGGTCCTTCTCACCCATAGTCATCAACGCTCTGTGGTGTTTTCCTTGTTAAGTGATTACCACATTTTCTTAAGAAATGAGGAGAAGATGTCTTAGAGATAGCAAATAACTTGCCCAACTTCAATTAACTGACTCTTAGTTCTCAGAACAATTCCACCAGATGAGTGAAACAGCAACAATTCCATCTTTGAAAACCAGCTTGTTCTTATCTGTGAGATTTTCGGTATTCTTAAGACCAACAGAACCCAGCACCTCTGAGAAGCCAGGTTCAATGGCTGATTCAAAAGTGTTGCTGAATGTTTAAAAACAAAAAGTGTGAAGTATTTAATCCTGATTTCAGTCTCACCCCAACTGTTGCCTTACTCAGTGAGAGGCAAGAGTCAGGGGCGGAGGGGAGCATGGAAGGATGTTGCTTTCCCACTTCACTCTCTGTGTGTACCTTTCTTGCTTCTAAATTTTCCACTCCATCATAGTTGACCCCAAAGCTCAGGGGTTAGAACACTGGTCGTCTAAATTTTTCACTCTATTTTTGTTACTTTAACAAATGTCATAAATAAACATTGTGTGTGCTTGGGATCTCTTTTATAGTAAGAAAGGTATTAGCACTTAGGACATGGGGCCTGGAGAAAAAGAAATCATAGTAGGGGCTAGAGAAATAGTACAGCATGTGGGGCACTTACTTTGTGCCTACCTGACCCAGGTTCAATCCCTGGTACTCCATATGGTCTCTGAACACCACCCAAAGTAATCTCTGAGCACAGAGCCAGGTGTAAGCCCTAGTACTGTCAGATGTACCCCCCTCAAAAAAATCACAAAAACAAGTCATTGTAGGAAGGCTAAAAGCATATTATTTTTCTGACTTATTATTATTACTAGGGCTGGAGCAATAGCACAGCGGTAGGGCGTTTGCCTTGCACGCAGCCAACATGGCCGACCCGAGTTCGATTCCTCCACCCCTCTCGGAGAGCCCGGCAAGCTACCGAGAGTATCTCGCCCGCGCAGCAGAGCCTGGCAAGCTCCCCGTGACGTATTTGATATGCCAGACACAGTAACAAGTGTTACAATGGAGACGTTACTGGGCCCGCTCGAGCAAATCGATGATCAATGGGAGGACCTTTACTTTTTTTTATTATTATTATTACTACTTGGGGGTTTTGTTCCATACCCAGAGGTGCTCTTGGCTTACTCCTGGTCCTGGCTGAGGGATCATTTCTGGAAGGGCTAAGGGGCCATATGCACTGCTGGGGACCAGTGTGGGTTTAGCTGTGTGCGAGGTAAATGCCTGAACTCATGTATTGTCTCTCTGGCCCCCTAAGATTTGTTATGATGTTGTCAAAAAGATTGATCAATAAGCACTTCTTGTCTTAATTGAAAAGTATAGCTTGGGGCTGGAGCAATAGTACAGCAGGTAGGGCATTTGCCTTGCATGTGGCCGACCCGGATTCGATCCCCAGCATCCCATATGGTCCCCTGAGCGCCACCAGGAGTAGTGCAAAGCCAGGAGTAACCCCTGTGCATCGCTGGGTGTGACCCAAGAAAGAAAATAAAAAGTATAACTACATCAATCATAATCACAGTTTTGTCCAAAACTATTTCAGATGCAGAAGCAAGAGTCCCTATTGCAGCTCCTAATTCATATAGGAGCATCTGGAATGTTGTCATCTACATAATGATGTCACTTAACTCTGTCATTCCCCCAAAGCGTATAACTTTCTCTAAAGGAAAGTAAAATGTCTCTAAACCTCATGTTGTTTTAAAAATTGTATGTACATTTCACACATTGAAAGCGTGTGACTCCCTGGTGTTTAGTATAATGACAGGTGTGTGCAAACATCAGCGGCTCAGTTTTAACATACCTGTATCATCACAGAATGAAACCCCAGCCTCTTTTATTTTTTTTATAAAGTACTTCACAGTATTTGATTACATTTAATATTCAAACACCATTCCCACCGCCATATTTCAGATGTTTCCATCCCGAACCCCAATCTCAGCCTCAAAGCAGAACCAAAATAATGTATCTTGTATTGCTTGTTATGAAAAACTGCTGAAAGTGCTACCAAAAAAAATCCTTAGAGGAAAGAGTGAGAAAATTGTTGTATTTCACCCAGGGGCCATTAAGCCCTTCTATAAGAGATCACTAACATGTTGTTAAAGTTTGAGCCTTGTGCTTTTATATATCACTGTATCACTGTATCACTATCATCCCGTTGATTGTCGATTTACTCGATCGGGCGCCAGTAACATCTCTATTTCTCCCAGCCCTGAGATTATAGCAGCCTCTTTTTACTCATCTTTTCCCAATAATTGGAGGCTCTTTCATGGTCAGGGGAATGAGATCTGTTGTCGTTCCTCTATTTTGCATATCTAATACACCACGGGGAGCTTGCCAGGCTCTGCCCATGCCGGTGGGATACTCTCGGTAGCTTGCAGGGCTCTCTGAGAGGCACTGTAGCACTGTCCTCCCGTTGTTCATCGATTTCCTCGAGCGGGCCCAGTAATGTCTCCATTGTTGTTACTGTGTTTGGCATATCAAATATTTATATATTTCTCTCTATGATTTGTTGCCTGCTGTCTGAACCCCATCAGATATGGCATAGTAACCATGGAAAAATGGGAAGGAAGTGTCTTATAATGTGTTCTTGGAAAGCGACCTGGAACATGGCAGTGGTTGGGCAGTGTAGGTCGGCTGCTGGAGCTGGATCCCTTGAGGTGGAGAGGGCTCTCACCCACCCCACAGCCTATATATATATATATATATATATATATATATATATATATAATATAGTTCCCTCTAAGATTTGTTGCATCCTACTTTGAACTGCCCACCTTTCTTATCTCCTTCATTGTCTTTTTGGTTTTGACTTTGTATTTATTCATAGAGAGTCAAGGATAGCTTTTAGGATTAAAGTAAGTAAAAAGCAAAGTCACTGTTGATGACATTTAATACTGTTTCCTACAGAGAGTGTCTCTTCGGGCTTCCCAGTAATGTTCCAAGAGCCCATTGGCAGGGGAAGTATGGGGAGCCGAGAGCTAGAAAATGATAGTACTCAGGCAGTTCCTGCCCCCAACCCCCCCTCGCCCAGTCTCTTCTGTCTCAGGGACAGGAAAGATGAGTGCTTACTGCTTCATCTGAGCCTTCTTGTGGAGAAGCAGCTCTTCCAGGCGGGAGGCCAGGCAGGAGGCTGGGCCTTGGAGACAGGGACTCTCCTGGGACTCCATGCCAAGGGCCTCTGGAACCAAGGACATCAGCAGGAACAGGAAGCAGCTTTCCTTTTCCTTAATGCTCCAAGGTTGACTTGGGCTTCAGGCGGTAAAGGAAGAAAGGAGGGAGGAAAGGAGAAAAGGAAATTTGGAATGGAGAGAGGGAGAGGGAAGGAATGCAGAAGGGAGTGAGGGAAGGGAGGAAGGAAAAGGCTGCGCCCATAGGTCCTCTTTCCTGTTCTGTTCAGCCCCTCAGAGGTGATAAAGCAGAATCACAAGCCACATATGGGGTCCGTGGAGGGCAAAAGAACTCAACCTGGGCCTCCTTTTTCTGTTCTAGGTCGCCAGATCCCACCCTTGGACCCCCATGAAAATGGAAACAATGGTGCCATCAAACTGGGAAAGCCAACCTCGCCCACCAGCCGCCGTCGCTGCTGTTGACCTGAAGCCAGACCTGCTTCCCGTGTCCTCTGTTGGGGGCCTGGCTCCTCACCCAGAGAGACGCAAGCCTGCGGCCGTTGCAATCTGGAAGACTTCCAGGGAATGGGGCAGGAAATGCCCCCATTAAAAAAAAAAAAAAAAGGAATTTTAGGAAACTATGGAAAATTCCAGCATACTGCCACGAAGTGACCTTTAGCATTTTCAATGCACTTGCAAGGGTACTGAAATGAGCTAAACAGTAAAGTTGAGGTCCTTTGTTAAAAATCTTTAAATATTCTTAAATTTGTACAAAAGGTTTTCCTGGGTTTTGTATGATACTAACATAGTGTTCCATTCTGATTTCCGGTGTTCCTTAGCCAAATGTCAGTCACTTTTCCAGTGTCACTGCCTTTGATACCGAACCAAAAGGGTGATTTAATCCAGTTTTCCTTTTAGCAGGAAGTAACTGGACCATCACTGGAGCTGTAGACCAGTACTTGCGCTGTTGGCGTACTAGAAGCTGTTGTTCACAGCTCCAACTCTTGAAGTTCTTTCTCTAGATTGTCGTCACACACAAACAGATCCAATCTGACTCAATTCCTCTGTGTAATTGGGAGGCCTCTTAGGTGAGTAGTGAGAGATGGAGGATATAAGTATGATTCCAGAGTCTCCTGTCATGCACCCCTCCCCAGTGATTAACTTCTCCTCTCAGAGAAGTTACTTGCACAGAGTATTGTATTCCTAAGTCAGAGTGTCACACGCAAGCAGAACTGGAGGAGGTTTGCACCTAATTCGTGGAGCTGATTTCTTACGATAGTGATTAGTCTTAGGTCCCAGTTAAACCAACCAGAAGAAGTACCAGCACCTTAACATTTTAGACTCTCAAAAGTGCAAAATGAAAAAATAATTTTTTTAGAAGATATCAAGTTTGGGAAAGTAGATATTAGGACTAGTACAAGGTCTACTTCTAGAATGTTGGACTGAAAATAGTCTAACAAAATCTTCCAATTCCCTGTCCCCTTACTTAAATATTTTGAATCCAAAGGAGAGAAAGGTGTTTCCACTCAGAATTCAAATATTTAATAATGCCAACATTTATAAAAGGCCAGAGTAAAGAAATAGTAGATTTCCTTCCTGTTAGGCCTTATCACAGGAGAGGGTTCCTAATGTATACTTGGATCCCTTGTAGAGAGGAGGAAACTGCAGCCGAATGGCCTCCAAAAAGATGGCTCCTAGGGCATAATGGCAGGGCCCACAGGACCCTCCTTGGCAGAAGTATTCCACAGCCAGCAGGCACTGACTAGAATCACAATACAAATGCCAGGAAAGGGGGTGAGAGCTGATTAAAGGCCTGGCACTTTCCTAACTCGGCTGGTGCTTCAGAGTCCTGTCAGGTACGCCTGTCTGGCAGATGAGGACCCCAAGTCCACCATCCACCAAGGCCCAGGGTCCTTGGCAAGACTGGGACCAATTCCACACTCCTGCATGTTGACTGCTGTCAAGGAAACAGCCAGGCAGAAGTCATAGACTTAGGCTTTTTTCACTCAAGTCCAAATGCTCCATCTGGTACTCATCTAAGTTCAACCAACCTCCACCAACCTCCAAAGTCTGATAATAATCTTAGAATGTGAAGGCCAGAAACACATAGTTTTAGTTCTCTTTGCTCTCCCAGATAGGTACCTCAAAAACTATTAGCTGCAGGTATTTGGGTAAACTTGGAAGGGTCTTTGCCAGGATTTTTAGTATTTTCTCTACTTAGTCAACCTGACTGGCTAACATAATTCCGCTTGCAGGTCAAGCGATTCTTACATCTCTCTCCCTGTAGTTTAAAGAATAAGGACTGAAAATGAAAATGACATCTTTCCAAGTGACAGCCCAGGGCTTGTTTTTTGCAACCTTTGTCTATTTTTGAGAACCTGAGTCTTTCTCGACAAAGCGCTTCTGGCTGAGGTGGTCTGTGTCCCAACAGCTTTGGAGCTCCGGCCTGGCTCCTTCCTGCGTGGCTGTGACCTGCCTGGCGGACCTTAGACTCCATTCATGAGCTACCCTTGAATAAACTCATGGTCTTATTTCAGAAGCACACGCGGGTGCGAACCACTCTCTCTGTACTTCTTAACTACTCAAGCCAGTCACAAGACTGTGAACACTACTCGGAGCCACTGGGAAAGGGACACTAGCTGGCATGTGGGCACACAAGTATCCATGGAACATGAAGTCTTTGCTGAAGACATGCTGGCGCCTGGTCCAGATGAAGCTGCTGCGTCTTCTCTTTTTGAAAATCTTTCTTCACGTTGCCTTGAACTGACATTCTGGCTATTCTAAGAATTGAACCATAACTACCATAACCACCAGATGTTACAGAAAGACTCAAAGGGACTGTTGCTTCAAAATGTCAAGCAGTTTCTTGTGGAGTGGCACTCCTTGCATCGCTATCCAAGACTTGCTCCTTTTCCCTGTTTCCTGGCCTTCCCTGTGCAGTCCACAAGTGTATGTGTGTTAAAGATTTCCTATTTGCTAGGAAGACATACCATTGATTCCACTCAGAGACTGCCACATGACTGCAGTGTGTTACTTTGGCAGGGGTTCCCATGGGGATTATTTCCCAGCAGGCAGTGGAATTATGCAAATGATATTTAAGGGTACATCATTGACCTGCCATTTTATAGCTGAAAATGGTACACGAGGGCGCTGGGATGCAGACTACGAAGGTTGAAGACCTAAACAAACCCCTAGACACCACGAGGGCCGTGCCCCACCCCCCCCCAGAGAATTGAATTATGTTTCTAAGACAGATTTGGCTGACTGAAATATTTTCTGACTGAAATATTGTCTCTCAGATCATAGAGTGGCTTTGGGAAGCTCCACACCTCGCTGCACTGGAATGCGTTTAGCAAAACTGGTAGAGTCGGCTTAGCAACGGAACGGCCCTCTGGTGCTCTAGTTCTGGGCTTTAGCCGTCGTTGTGGAGACCAATGTTGATCCTATGTCAGTGCTCTGTTGTGGAGACTGTTTCCATTTCCTGTGTTTTTCTAAAGGGCTTTTGTCTGGGCTGGACCCAGGTTTTGTATATAGAAGACCCTGCCGCACGTAGGACCTCTCCCTTCTAGATTCTGTACTCAAGCATTGCCCTCAACAATGCCCAATGGTATCTGTTATTTTGGGTTTAATACACTGATTCATACTAATAAATATTTTTAAGTTTTACTAAGTTTATCTTTTTTTTATTATATCATGTTGGCAGAATAACTTTTGTGAGAGGTGCAGCTTCTAGCTCTGCATTTAGGAATTACTCCTGGTGGTGCTCGGGGGACTATATGGGAAGCAGGGGATCAAACCTGTCAGCCATGTGCAAGGCAAACACCCTCCCTACTGTTCTATTGCTCCAGCCTCGTAGATTTACTTTAAAGTCACTATAACTTCACGGTGAAGTTATAAGAATAGTGATTCCATGGCACAGTGGGTAGGGCATTTGCCTTGCACGTGGCTGACCCGGGTTTGATTCCCAGCATCCCATATGGTCCCCCAGTACCACCGGGAGTAATTCCTAAGTGCAGGGCCAGGAGTAACCCCTGTGCATCACCGGGTGTGACCCCCCCCCCAAAATAATAATACTGATTCACCAGAGAAGCCTATTGTACCTACCTATGCCTATTGTACCTGTGAAGTCACATGTAAGGACATTCCCTGGGGCTGGAAGAGTAGCTTAGAGTTTGAGCATATGCTTTGCCCATGGAAGCCCTAACTTAAGCACTGGCACCATGTGGTGACTCAGCACTGTGGGAAGTAGATCCTTTCCCCAAGTAAAGGGATGTTCAGGAGCCAGGAGATACTGCAGCAGTGAGGGCAGCTGCTTAGCATGCACCTGACCAACCAGCCGATTCTGGCACCACATGCCCTGACCCCCTCCGGAGCATCGCCAGGCGAAGCCCTGGAGATCCCAAGACCACCAGGGTGCCTAGGCATCTCTGGCACTGCAGGGCCCACGCAGCAGCTATCCTCGGGAGCTCCTTGCAATAAACTGCTGGCCCAGATGGCAGAAAATTGCTGGTGAGGCCCCCAGAGCTCCTGAGCACTGCTTGGGAGGCCGAAAGAAAGAAGAAAGGATGATCATTGGCGTTATTCGCAATAGCACAATCGAAATACAGCCAAGCCAAATGATGAGACTTGGGGCGGATTTAAATGATACAATCATGCATCAGCGTGCACCTCAAAATAGTATGTGGCGTGCCCCCTCGCAAACGCCACCCTCCTGGGGGTCTGAGAGAATGAAATCCAGCAGGTTGGGGCTGGAGAAACAGTTCCATGCAGCTGATGCTCTGCAGACGGGAGGCCCGGGTTCAACCTGAGCATAGGCAGGGCGGCCCACAAACCAGAAATAAAAAAGAAATACATGAAAGAAGTACAAAGGTATAAAGACTTCGAAAAACAACAAGGTGGTGTGCGTGTGTCTGTGTGTGTGATTTAAAAATAAGTAATAGAATGTGGAACCAGAGAGAAAGCATAGAGGTTAAAGTACTTGCTTTGATACAGCTGACCTCAGACCCACATGGTCCCTCAAGCAACCCCATGAGTGACCCCTGAGCACAGAAGCTGGAATAAACCGCTGGAATAAACCCAGAACATCACTAGGGGAGGGGGACCCAACCATTACCCCCCCACCTCCAAATATGAGTCTGAAGGTAAGACACTAGGATAGTGCTTCCCTACCTCTGGTGAGGAAAGGAAATAAATAGCTCACGGAAGAGAAGGCATTAAACTCTCAGGAATTTTTATTTATTTAATATTTTAAATATTTTGCTCGAGCGGGCCCAGTAACGTCTCCATTGGAGACTTTGTTGTTACTGTGTCTGGCATATTGAATACTCTCGGTAGCTTGCCGGGCTCTCCGATAGGGGCGGAGGAATCGAACTCGGGTCGGCCATGTTGGCTACGTGCAAGGCAAATGCCTTACCCGCTGTGCTATCGCTCCAGCCCCTCTCAGAGAGCCCAGAAAGCTACTGAGAGTATCTTGCCCACACGGCAAAGCCTGGCAAGCTACCTGCGATATATTCGATATGCCAAACATAGTAACAACAAGTCTCACAATGGAGATGTTACTGGGCCCGCTCAAGCAAATCGATGAACAACGGGAGGACAGTGCTACACTGCTAATATTTTAAAAATCAAACCAAATGACAGAATGGAAGCTTTCGGCCATTCAGCGGTGCTTATTTTATTAGTCTCTATGATTGTTTTCATGCTTTTCCTAGAGAGGTAGTGTGTGAAGATGAGAAACTGAACAATCAGGCAGACTTCTTAAATATGCAAGAAAGTTTTCATAAATGTAATTGCCAGCATGCACATCATGAAATTTCCTTATCCCACCCCTGCTCCATCATCACAGCTAGCCCGGCTAGCCCAGCTAGCCACCAACAAGCACGTACTCTCTTCAACTCTGGTGAGGCGCTCATCTTTCTCTATTTTTGTTTGTTTATTTGTTTTGGGGTCACACCCAGCAGTACTCAGGGCTTACTCCTGGCTCTGCACTCAGGAATCACTCCTGGTAGGACACGGGACCATATGGGATGCTGGGGACGGAACCCAGGTGGGCACCTACAAGGCAAACACCCTACCTGCTATACTATCTCTCCAGTCCAAAACCTCTTTCTTTTGGTTTTTTATCCTCACCCTGTAATGCTCAAGGGCTATATCTGGTAGTGCTTAGGGGACCATACACAGTAGCAGGGCTTGACTGCATATAAGGAAGAGCCGTAATCCCTGTACTATAGCTTTGGCCCAAAGAACTTCCCTGTCTACGCAGAGCTTCATCTGGTGAATAGATGAATCGGGAAGGCAGGCTGTGAAGGAGGGTGGGAGCAGTGCCTTATGCTTTCCACTTTCAAATCACTACTCAAGGCACTGGCTGGGAAGCGGCTTTCAGTATCTGAGCAAACAAGGAAAAACCGCAACCCTCCATTACCAAGACACCCGGTGTTCTGGTTTTGTAAGAAAACAAGGCTTGCTTTTGTATTTCCTAAGAGGTGGTTATCTATTTATGGCAACTTTGGGAAATGTTTTTAGAAAGTCTCTCGTGATGGGATTAGTCAGCAAATGCCATAAGCCTGCCAGTGTGTGGAGATGGCTTTCTTGGGGGGGGGGGGGGGGGCGGGAGGGGGCGGGGGGGGGGGGTCCTCCAGCCACTCCTGCTTTGTTCACCTTGGGGGCTTGGCTCAGAGGCCCCAGGAGTCATGCCCAGAGGCACTCCATGCTTTTGCAAAACAGCTTCAGTTTATTGAAGGGCCATGGTTCAGCTTGATGACTGGAGCAATACTCGTGGCTACTCTAAATGGTTCTTAAACATTTCCTGTTTAGGCAAGGGTTGTTCCAAGAGCAAGACCTACTGGTTTGTAGCACAGGGAGACATCATTGTAATTTCATGAGCTTCATCTGCGGGAATGTCTTCTCTAAAGTTTTGAGAAATATAGCCACATAGAGTTGAACTGGCTTGTTCGTTTGTGACTATCTTTCCTCTGTTCCACTACTCAAATAAGTAATACCAGAGGAATATCACAGGGCTTAAGGCACTTGCCTTGCATGTACTGAGCCTGGTTTCATCCCTGGCATCCTGGGCACACTGCCAGGACAGGAGTGATCCCTGAGCACAGAGCAAGGAGTAAGCCCTGAGCACAGATGGGTGTGGCCCAGCCTCCTCTCCTTCCTTGGGATAAAATTAGTAGAACAGATAATGCCAAGTGTGAAGGACTCTAGAAACATGCATTTTGAAACGCTGACCAGTGTATAAACTGGTACAATCTTTCTGGAGAGTGGATTGACAATGAGGATCTAAAACATTTGAGGGAAATCATATCTTATGCCCCACTAATCCCATTTTTCTAAGAATTAATGTACATGCTTGTATGTTTAGAGATGTCATATATGTACATTACTATAACATATGTATAAATATATTATTGCATTACTCATCCACCTACCACTTTCTAACAACAACAACAATAAAACGAAAACCCTTAGTTCTCCTATATCTCCAGCATGTGGGAATCTGGGAACAACCTGTTGGTTCTCGCTCAGGGTCTCTAGCAAGGGCAACTGAGACCTGGGTTGGGTTGTTGGGGATGTACCAGCTAGACCCTTGACTGATGCCCTCAGGTAGTGGTTGGCAGGAGATCTCATCTCTACCCCAGGTCGGCCTCTCCAGAGCTGCTCAGAGGCAGGGCAAGGCTGCAGGCAAGAACTCTGCAGAAGCCACAGTCTTCTACAGCCTGGTCTGACAGTCGCACACCGGCAGGTTTGCCATATCCTAATTGTTACACAGGTCAAACCTGTTGGATACAGGGCAGGATTGCATGAGGAGGTGAGTCTATGGCGGAAAACACCGACCCACCTCAGAGGCTGCTACCATAGGTGCAACTAGGGAGATGCATTTGCAACTCATTAGCTGCACCTTTTTGCCTTAGAGGATTTCTTTTATTTTTTTAATTAATTTATCTTTTTAATTTTTATTAGTGAAACACCATGAGGTACAGTTGTGGACTTGCAAGTTTTTGTGCTTGGGTTTCAGTTATACAATGATCGAGTACCCATCCCTCCACCAGTGCCCATTTTATACCACCACTTATCCCAGTATCCTTCCCACCCCCAATTCCCCCATCCCACCCTGCCTCTGTGGCAGGGCATTCTCTTTTGTTCTCTCTCTCCTTTTGCGTGCTGTGTTTTGCAAAAGAGGCAATGAGGGGCAGTCATGTTAGGTCTATAGTCTACTTTCAGCATGCATTTTCCATCCTGGGAGGATCCTCCCAATACCCTTTACTGGTGTTCCCTTCTCTACCTGAGCTGCCTTTCCACATGGCATGTGCGGCTGGCCTTCAAGCCATAGAGTGAACCTCCTGATATCTCGACTATTCTTGGATGTTAGTCTCCTATTTTGTTGCTTTATATTCTCCAGATGAATGCAATCTTTCTATGTCTGTCCCTCTCTTTCTGACTCATTTCACTTAGCATGATAACTTTCCTTACAGTACCACTTGTATGTAAATTTCATGACTCCATCTTTTCTAACAGCTGCATAGTACTCCATTGTGTAGATGTACCAAAGTTTCTTTAACCAGTCATCTGTTCTTGGGCACTCGGTTTTTTCCAGATTTTGACTATTGTGAACAGTGCAGCAATGAACATAGAAGTGCAGATGTCATTTTGACTATACTTTT